CTCTTTCCTCTATTAGTTGGAAAGAATAGAAGCTGATCACTTTAATTCAGTCATGGAATGGACTGGGTAAGGACTGATTTACAGCTTCATCAAGGACCCATCCATCTCTGGTTTTCTCTAGCCTGCCACATCCCTGTATATCTTGGGTCATTCTCTCTAGCAAGCTCTAAACTATAATAGTTTCCTCAGCATGGTGAAGTTGCCAAACCTCTGCTATACTTTACTGGGTAAGGACTGATTTACAGCTTCATCAAGGACCCATCCATCTCTGGTTTTCTCTAGCCTGCCACATCCCTGTATATCTTGGGTCATTCTCTCTAGCAGGCTCTAAACTATAATAGTTTCCTCAGCATGGTGAAGTTGCCAAACCTCTGCTATACTTTACAGAGGCTTTCTGCTTAGTCTCTCAGCATCCCCAGTGTTCAAGTTCATAATTTGGTAAATGTCTTGAAAGGAAAACCAACTGTGTATCATGCTCTCTTCTGGGCCTCTCTTTTCTCACAAGAATCTTGGCTCCTTAAATTTCAAATGTTGCCCCTCTAACCCACTGAGACTGCCCTCTGCCCAGGAAAACCCCAGATCCTCCTCTTCTTGCCTTGCACACAGAATCAGTTAATGTCTCCAGAGAAAATATAGTAGAGCTAACCTTTCCACAATTCTCTCCAATCTGGTATCTTGGTTTTTCTTGTCCTCATTGCTTCATCAGCTCTCAGATGCCTTTAAGCAGATTTTGGGAGTGACTTTTATATTTTTGTTTAGATCTTTTAGTTGTTCTTGGCTGGATCATTGGCCTGTTGCATGCTTACCATCTCATCCCTATTTTTAGATAGTGAAATAGAAGAATGATGCCTTCTCTTACACACATCTATACAACCACAAAGAATGTAGCCAGAAATTTCTACCCTAGCCCAATGTATTCTAGAATTAATTGGCAGAGTGGACGCATAGAAATGTATCATTGAACGAAATCTTCAAAATAGGTGTCATTGAAAAAGCTGGACAATAAACAGAGCTAATACTCCATAGTACACTGAGCTCACTGCCCAAGAACTGCTTAGATGGATGAAATCAGTATAAGTGGGAGTCCAAAACCTAATGGTAGCTCTGGGGAGTTGTAGCTTCTGGATGCAACTCTTGACTTCTTATTATGAATTATCTTCACAGGAAGTAACTCTTGATTGTCATTGTCTACTAAAATACTGGGGAACAGAGATATTCTTTGTGTTTTTTATATCTCTACTAACACTTGTAGGAAGAAGGTATAGCACAGTGGTTAAGTGCCTGGATTTGGGAGTCAATCAAATTTAGATTCAAATCTTGTCCATTTACTAGATGCTTGACCTTGAGAAAGTTGCAAAAACTCTCTAAAGCCTTAATTCCATATCTGTGAAACAGGAATAACAATACATTTCACTTTTCTGATATGAAAGTTGATGGAGATTCAGTTTTCAAAGTGCTAATAACAATCTCTAGAACATCGCTAACACGCAGTTTATGGTAGCTAAAAATTTTTTGGCTATTATGGAAACACATGGAATTAGAGACCCCGAATTTTGAGATGAGACCTTAAGATATTTACACAGCCCCTCCATAGACTTTAAGATATTTACATAGCCCCTCCAAAGAATGAAGCATGTGGAAAAAGAATTGTTTTGAGAATTCATAAGTTTGTTTTTGTTGTTAAAAAACTATGTAAATACCTGTTTATGTTATGGATAAAAAACTATCTGAAATAACTCTGGAAAAAAATAACTGAATTGGAAATGGTTTAATTCTCAGTGACTTCAAAAATGTGCTTCTTCATAGTTTCAATAGATAACTAACAAACATATCATTCTCTACTGCATATTGTTTTAAAGTTAATACTCCAATATGAAATAAAAAGTTAAAAAATGAAGTTAATCTAAGAAGAGTCACGTTTAACTGGCACTCTAAGTTGTACAGGTATTAACATGTTTAAGAAAAGGAACAAAATTTAAAGGAAAAGAAACCTAGCAACTAACCCCAATAAATTAAAAAAAAAAATAAAGTAAAAGAAATCTGAGTGAAAAACTTAGAGTTAAAAATAGAGAGAGAGACAAATTTGGTTCCTAGCTACCATCCATTTGTTATGTGGTATTGATTGAGCAGGTTAAGTGATCTCTTTGAGTCCCATTTTTCTCAGAGAAATTACAAGATGGTAAAAATGATACTTAGAATTTTCTTGACTATCAAACAAGAAAATGAAAATGCTTAATAAACAATAAGGATGGTCATATTACTTGTATTTAATGATTGGGTGTACCTTTGAATCTCTCTTTGAGCTGTGATGCATATGAATTGGTGTTATATAGCAAGAAAACAAGAATTAGCTAAAGAGTGATGAAATGAAGTCTTCTGGTTATTGCTATTTAAGTAATAATTTAAACCACGTATATTTGAGTCAATTTTTACATCACTTCACTGTGTGGAAAATTTTCTCTAATCTTGATATTCTTCTGAACATTATTCAGATATATTATACCTAAAGCCTATTCCCAGCACCTTTTCAATAGTTCTGACTCGACAGAACTAAAGGAAAGTGAGCTCTTCTCTTCCTTTTAAGTTACTCTAATTCAGGAATTGTTTCTGCGCTCCTCATACTTGAGTGAGTGTGAAATGATGCCTTTGCTGAGTATTTCTGTTTGATTTTCCAAAAGCTATTGTCAGTCCTATAGCTCAAAAACAAAAGGCACGTGGTAATTGGTATAGTCACAGTCAGTCTTCAAATCTAATTGGAACTGACCCAGACACCCTCAGAGCTCCTCCTAGCCTTTCAGATTTGTAAGCATAGATGATGAGACGAAAGCAAGAAAGCTTGTGGAAAGGGGAAAAAGCCCCTTTGCGTGTTGCTGAACCAGAAAGCTTTGACTGTATGGCTCTCTGAGTCCAGACAATGTCTTGTGTGTTTGTTTCCACAGAGCGTATATCATTACAGACTATATGGGCATCCGAAATGAAAGTTTCATGAAATTAGCTGCAGTAGGGACCTGGATGGGGGACTTTGTCACAGCTTGGATGGTAAGAAATTTTAACTTCTCCCATTTCAAACGTCAGATGGAAGACATGTTCATAATGTTGGATACACAGTACTTTTTTTTTTTTAACAAAGAACTTGATGAATTATTTTATTTCATGTTACATGTCAAATAACATTCCAAAGTAAAAAAACAAAAGGATCTTGTTTTCATAGTTAGCATTATTACATTTGTGCAAAGCCCTCAAACATGGGAAAGTCTCATTTATTTCACAAAATTTGAATGTACAGTCATTTCAGTAACTGGTTTGTTAGATAATCCAAGTCCAGTTATCCCCGGTTTTTCAAGCAACAAGTCACAGGAAATGCTGAGCTCTAACTGTTCGTGTGCCTGTCAGCCCAGCATCCTGATCTCCAGCCCCTTTTTGACACAGCCGTGCTCTTTGTTTTGTTATATCATTCCTCTGTCCTCCCAAGGATTAGAGATATAGTTTCATTTTCTCAACTAATGTGAATTGTATTTTATTGGATACACATTGCTTTTCATGGTTTAGAGCAAAATAGTTACCTCTGTTTCAAGGGGAACAAATTCATGAATATGGACAAATCTAGAGATTATATGCAATATCTGTTTACCTCAGGTAAAAACGTCAATACAATTTTAATACTAATGACTGTCCACCAGGATATATTTATTTATAAAATGCATATATATGTGTATGTACAAAAACATATACATATGCACATATGTGTGGCATACACATATACACATTCATAAAATTAGTGGAAAATTCTTTCCTGTGAAATTCTAAATAATTTTGTGAAGATTGTCTGTTTGTTGTTTTCTGACATGTACACTTTTCAGGTAAGAAATGCTGCATGGCCTGTCTCAGAAGACCATATGAAACATTCTTTAAGGACTTTAAAAATAGTTTTACTACATTTGTTTTCCTCACTGAACCTACTAACTTAATGATAACTAAGGAGTTCTGAGAGTTGTCTGTTTTAATCTCTTTTGTGCATTATCAGTCTTTATTACTGTACGTCTGCAACATTTAGACAAACCATGTTTTATGCTGAGTTCATCTGCCAGGAGAGTAACTTCTGTTTCTAACCATTGAGTTAATTAAAGACAGTATGTAGCTTAAAGGCCCTAGGTCCTGTAAGTTTACAGGAGCGTCTCAGTGGGCAAAGAGCGTAACTCTCATAAAAAAGGAACACTTTAACCTTCATTGACACCTTTCATAAGTGTAGTTAATCCTGACACCTTTCATAAGTGTAGTTAATCCTAATTAGCTTTATTCAAATTCATTCACTTGAAAATGAGACGACTTATCAAAAGAAAGATGATGCCCAAACTAAACACAATTTGGCAGGGGCATGCAACTACAGATGTGTTCCTGATACTGCAAGGAGATGCTCACAACAGTTACTGCCACTTCTATTGATAGCTTTGTTTCTTACCTAGAACAGGTGTTTTCAGGGCACAGGAAGCAGTTATATCTTAATTGCTACTACTGTCATCATCCTGCAAGAGTATCAAGTAACCATGAAAGAGTTTGTCTAGCCTGTTTTTGAGCTCCCTCCTACCTCTGTTCAATTTTAGAAGGTTACCAGAACAAATTACCAGATGCATTCCATTTTGTTAACTTTAAAATCAAAACTTGAAGATGTTATTTATTTGTAATCATTAGAAATAGCAATGAGAATAAGCCAGACATTAAGACCAGGCTGCCTCATCTGTTTCCATTGGGAAAAACTATTTAAAAGGAAATATATGAACTTTAAGCTTGTAATTTCCTTAAAATTTGAGGTAATGCCTTTTGGAAATTTCTGCATTAATTGTGGATTATGATTTTGACTCCACTTTATGATGGCTCTACTTACTAAAATGGAAAAGAGAACTGGAACAAGAGTTCAGAAATTTGGATTCTCTGTTGCCACCTATGGTTTGACCTTCCACAAATAATGTACAATCCTTTGAGCCTCAGTCTGCACATTTCTTAAAAGGGATTAATAGTTCCTACTGGTGCTACAGGTTTTTTTGTGACGATTAAACGTGTGGTCCTAGAGCAGGACTTAAAATGCTGACATGTAAGGGAGGTATAAGTGCTTTATTGTTATTGTTCATGTTTTTGGACCCCTTCCTCTTGACTGGGCCCAGTTCCTTGAAGTAATGGCAAAGGCAGGTCATTGATCCAAACCTTAGGCTTCCCAGACTTCCTGTCTCTTCTGTGAAGCTCCAGGAGCATGAGAATCCCACCTTATCCCAGACCTGGGGTTCAGAGCATCTGGAGTTTCCTTCCTATTGCCCATGCTAGAGCAGACTAAACCAGTATAGTACATTGCTTCCTTACTTCTGCCTGATACTGATCCTGACCAAAGTCAGGGGAGAAGCAACAGACCAAGAAAACCTAAGAGCTGCTCTGGAGTTCTCAGGCTCAAGTCAGCCATTTGATGCATAAATCATTTTCTTTCCCATGATGACATCATTATTTATTTGTAACCCAATTCCAGGCAACTTCTCCCCAGACTTTCCCACAAAACAGTGTTTCCTAGGCCATATATAGTTCTGCCCCTATTTATTGGTTATATTATTATTTTTTAAATTAGGCTATTTTTCTTTTGAGCCATAAGGTGGGGTCCAATGCCTAGGTAGCATTGAGAGGCAAATGCATAGTACAGCTTTGACCAAAGACCTTTAACCCTTCCTGGTTGGATTTTTACCATGCACTCTTCTGCCCAACTCTTATGGTTTAGGGGAATACCAATAATTCCACAGTTCAATCTGTAGTCTTTCTCTCTCTCCATCATCTGTCTTACCTTCAGAGTTTCTCCTCAATTTACTACTTTAATGCCTTCTATTTCTACTAACTAACCTGATAACTTTTTACCTTTTCCTATACCATAGATTACTGCTCCAGTCAATACTTCCAATACCACAGAAGTAGGACTAGATTGAGGGTCAAGAAAACTATGTTATAGGTTTAAGCCAGCAAACCTTCTGGGACCTCTCATCTGTTCCTTTCTGCAAACTGAGAAAGAATCAAAATCCCTTTCTGCTTATGTAATCTGAAAAACTGACCTTTCCCCATTAGCCACAGGGATAGAAATGGCAAAAGAAACAGTTCTCTCCTGATTTGAAAGTACAGTCACACAGGGAGGATTCCCAGAGCACATCATTTCTATTCCCATTTCCATTCACTGACTAGGCGGTACGTTTCCATATAAATATTTATATGTCTACATATGTGTCATTGATAACATTTTAAAAAAATAGTTTTCCTCATGAGAGGAGTCTAAGGGAGCTTTGACCTTCATTTCTCCATAGAATTCTCATCATGAAGGTGACCGTTGTGGAAAACCAACGGACTATTTACATTTCCAATAAAAGCGTGCCTTTCAATGCAGTTCAGAAATAGAGGCTTTTTCTTTGGTGGAAATAATTCAGAACTTTTCCTTGGTTTTAAAAGGCACATCAGGACTGATGTGATCCACAGGCAAGGCTGATATCAACCAATCTGACAAAAATCTTTGACCCTCACACTACCTAGTGTCAAGCTCTGCTAGGTTCAGTTCCCTGGCAGTCCTGACTTTTCCGGGCTCTGTGGTATGCCCTGTACAGAAGGCTATAAGTATATGTCAGGGTTCAAGTTACTAATTTTTTTGTCAAATAGACGTTTTAAAAATTAGTATAAAAGAAATACATAAAATGATCAGTGAGGTAATTCATCATTGAGCTGGCCCTTTATGTTAAGAGTTGCAGAGACGAGCTCTATCACAAGGACATGCAGAAAGCAAAAACGCTGGGTGTCTCATGTGACACCATTGCCACGTAGCCCCATGTTTGCCCATGCTCTGTGCCATTAAGCAAAGAGCCAAGGAGGGTCAGCTGTTCCACAGCACATGGCTCCAGCTTGACCACCTCCTCCGTGTGGAAGACAGAGGTCACAGCCTCTGCTGAGGTCTAAGGTGGCAGGGGATCCTGAGAACATCATGATGGCCCTTGCTTCTGCCCCTCACTTAATACCAGAGGGAAAAATCACTTCCTGTATATGTATACCTAATCGTCATCCTCTTTCTCCAGCTATATATATATATATATATATATATATATATATATATATATATCCACTCTTTTTTAGATTCTTTCCCATATAGGCCATTACACAGTATTCAGTAGAGTTCCCTGTGTTATACAGAAGGTCCCTATTAATAATCTGTTTTATATATAGTAGTGTGCATTTGTCAATCCCAATCTCCCAATTTATTCCTCCCCCTGCCCCTTATGCCCTTGGTAATCACAAGTTTGTTTTCTAAATCTGTGACTCTATTTCTGTTTTGTAGATAAGTTCATTGGTACCCTTTTTTTAGATTCCACATATAAGTGATATCATGATATTTGTCTTTCTCTGTCTGACTGACTTAGTATGACATATATATTCTTTTTTAGATTCTTTTCCATTATAAGTTATTTCAAGATATTGAATATAATTCCCTGTGCTATACAGTAGGACCTTGTTGGTTATCTTTTTTATGTATAGGAGTGTGTGTATGTTAATCCAAAATTCCTAATTTATCCCTCCCCATCCTTTCCCCTTTGGCAACCATAAAAGTTTGTTTTTTATGTCTGTGAGTCTGTTTCTGTCTTGTAAATACATTCATTTGTATCATTTTTGTTGATGTAATTCTCCTAAATGGTGATGTAACCTTTTGTACAATTTTGCATTCTTTGGCAAAATAAAGATTGAGACTCTCAGATCCCCCCAGATGATTCCTTGAGTGGTCATTGTTGCTTTCAGGAGCATAGTTCTGCTCCTGGGGGCAACAGAAGGAAACTAGGTTGAGATATATCCCTTTAGCCACTTAAGCAGAGAGCTTTTACTGTACTATGTAAGACAGAAAACTGGTTAAACTTCAGTGGACAGAGGCAGAGAGGATTAAAGAATGGTGTATACTTGAGAATAATTTATACTTCTGGGTTAGTATTTATTTACAAATCTAGGACAGAATAGAGAGAGGAACTATTTCTGTAGCATTCAAG